GGATGACACGTTGGATTGACACGTTGATAAATACTTAGCCAGTAAGTAAGGATTTTATTTGTGTTTGTGATTCGAATTGATTCGCAATTATTAAAATTTTTGTTTTTTTTTTTTTAAATCTTAAAAACACCAAAAACTAAATTGTAAAGATTTTATATACAAAAAGAAGTTTCAAAAAATTTCATCAATATTTACAAGAAAATTTTGTTTATGATAAAAGCTTTAAAGGGGGGAAAAATTATGTTACTAAAATGTGTTTATTGTGATTCTGCAAAAAAAAATATTCAAAAAAAAATTTTTTTTTTTTTTTATATTAAGGAAAAAAATAACGATTTCTTAGAATTGCTTAAGTGTAATTTTTTAAAATGTACGTGCGATATTCGCACAAAATATACCATATGAAAATTATTCTATAAATTGGGACGATTTTTGTTTGAAATTTTTTTGTTTGCAAGTCGCATTTGTGGAATGTAATTTTTTTGACGAAATGTAGTGCATAGAAAATGATAAATATATATATATATACAGATATATATATATATATATATATGTGAATGTCTGTGATTTGTACAATATATAATATATAATTTTGTAGTCCCAACTATAGGGGTAGTCCCGAATAATAGGGAATCGAAAGAATAAAAGATGGATGTTAAAATATGCAATCAGTCTGAAGGATATGATCTTCCATTATAAGGTCACCGCATTTCAAACTGATTCCCAATTCATCATTAAAACATTTAATTAAGTCAGGTTGACTAGTTGCCAATGTAGACAAAGACGACGAAGAACCCGTTGAAGAGGAGAAACAACGGTCATAATCTACTAAAAATTCTGATGGAGGAGTAGAAAAATCCATCTCACTATTCATCGAATACCACGAACACGCAGTAGCAGACGAACTCGAGGATGAATAGTTATGTATCTCACGTGGAGCAACTGTTGATATCGGCATATCACAAATGTCAATAAACTCCTCAACTTCTTGAGTGGACTTTACATCATCTTCAGATATAGTAAACTTTTCACAAGCCAACACACGTTCTTTGAGCTCTTTTAACGTTATACGCTTTTCAGGGTTAGGATTAAAAATGTCTTTTAAAATTTCGTTTAATTCATCTGAAAGTGGAAGTATAGTCTTTAAAAAATCACGGTCTTGAAGATACATGGAAAAGGTTTCATCACGAAGACAAGCTTGTTTCCATGGATTACGACCACAAGTGATATTAATTAGAATAACACCTAAAGACCAAATATCATTTGGAGCAGTCGCATAACCTCGTACTTGTTTATGAAGACCACCTTGACATTCTAAAATAATTTAAAAATATATACATAGTTATGAGCTTAAATGCAAGTTAAAAAAAAAAAAAAAAAAAAAAAAATATATATATATATATATATATGTGTGTGTGTTTATATATATGTGTGTGTGTTTATATATTTAAATGATAAGAGGATTTACCAGGACTCATATAAAAGGTAGACCCACAACCGAAATCTTTTGACCAGGTGTCAGTAGTAGCCAAACCAAAATCGGCAAGTTTGACGGTTCTTCCAGAATCAAAAACAAGGATGTTTTCAGGTTTTAGATCACGATGATAGATACCATTATAATGAGCAAATTGAACGGCATCCAAAATTTGCACGAAAACTTGTTTGATAAGATTGTCATTTCCAAGGTAACCACCTTTTTCGGTAATCATTGAGAATAGATCACCTTCAGGACAATATTCAAGAACAACGTTCAAAGAATCATCAGTATCAATAACGTTTTCCAATCTTATGATATTTGGATGACCAGAAACCTGAGCATGAAGGTTAACCTCAGTCGCATGTAACCTTTGTTGTCGAGTATCTATATTAACCTTTGGCATACATTTTATAGCGTAAACGCGTTGATTGACATGTCTTGCAGAGTAAACCACACCGTACGCTCCTATGCCCAGGATATTAGTTATCTCTAAACGGCCATTATCGATGAATTTACCGATACGTTCAGAAGGGTCGAAGTAATTTTCTATTAATGTGGACATTATTTTATTTTAACAAGACAAAAAATCAATCTAGCGTAATTAAATCTAATGTAATGATTGGGATTATTATTAACAACCTAAATACTATAATTAAATGAAAGGAATTAAAAAATGTTTGAATATAATGATAAACGGTTAATAAAAGTTTTTTTTGCAAAAAATGATTGCATTTATATGATTGATTTGATTCGACCGCTAACGCGAAATAGAATGTTGAAAGCACGTGAAAATGTCAAATAATTAATGGATTAATAGAGAAGAGTCCATACGACAAAGAAAAAAAATTTTAAGTATCTTTATGAGGAAATGACAAAAAATTCTTTTTTGTCAGTGAGTAAAAAAAGAAAAAAAAATTTAAAATAAACGGCAACAAAAGGTTTTTATATATAAGATTTTCAATGGAAAGGATCTGGATCTAGGGGTTTACAAAGTAACAAGTGGGAACAATATGAAGAAGTTACAAAGCAATATAAAATAATTATAATAAGTATAATAACTATAGTTAACTATAGTACTGTAGTAAAAATAACTAATAATCTATATAGTAAAAAACGTATTAAAATAAGATCATTAAAAGTACCAGATGTGACAAATGTGACAAATGTGACCAATGTGACAAATAGTGTAGATCTATTTTTTAAAATACTATATATATGTGGATGCTTATACACGTGATTTTTTATTTTGATGGAAAATTCTTCATCACATACCTACAAATGTGCAGTATGTGTATGTGAGAATAATGGTAAAAAAACCGGCTATTGAATCATGTGATACAAAGCCACACTATCTTTAGCAAATGATTGCGTCAATATTTACATCACATAATTTAAGACAATCTGTGCATCAAAGACTTTTCGAAACGAAACGAAACGAAAGGTAAAATCCGTGCTTTTGAAACTTTCTAATTATTTTAAGATAATATGAAGCGTTTTTGAATATTTTACAATATTTTACAATATTTTAGAATATTTTACAATATTCTATAATATTTTACAATATTTTATAATATTTTACAATATTTTACAATATGTTATAATATTTTATGCAAGTAAAAGAAAGATTATTTCCAAATTCAAACATTTTCATAAGAATAGACATAAGTAACTAACTCTTCTTAATAGTTAATAGATTCAAAAGATAAGTGAAATCAGCGCGTATACTCTGTACGTATATACTCTGTATACCTTGTACGTATATACTCTTCGTGTAAATATTATAATTCTGTGGGGAAACAAAACATTTGTGCGGTGGACAATAATCTAAGCATTTTATTACTACATTTTTTTCCAGATCGGGTTTGGAGTTGTTAGAGTATATAGTCAGACGATCTTTTGTGACTATTACGAAAGAATCAATATAGATGGATTTTCCATCGCAAAGTATGTTCTCACGCTTTTTACATAATTTAAAGATGTTCTTTTTTAGGAATCAAATATTTCTTTTTCTGTTCGGCTGGTTAAAAATACGTGTCGATTACTGTATGTTAAAGGTCATTTGATATTCATGAATATAACTAATTCGTCATTATACATCAAATAGCTGATAGATGTTACATTTGACAGACTAGGTATGTATTTATGTACGTACATACGTATGCACCGTGCAATTTATGCACACCAAAAAAAATAAATGCCGGTTTGTAAATCTAGAATAGATTAACAAACACCCCCCACACCTTCTTTTCTCACTGTAATACTTTAGTAAAACTTTTCTTTTCTGTACATTTTTCTGTACATGCGTTCTTTTTTTTCTCTGATAAACTCTGTTATTGGATCTATACTTTATTAGTCACCCTGCATTTTAGAACAATTATCTCTTAAAAAACCGGTTATTTTTAGACGTTAAAATTTCTAATCCTGCTTTCTTTTCTCGAATCATTCATTCATCATTGTCTCGGTCTTGTCACTCAAATATTTTATTACTATTTACCAAACTTGGATAATCCTATTCTTATTTAGATTTTATTATTAGTACAATATTATTTATCGATAATGGATCCTCCACCTGCTGACCTACGTACGTACGTACGTCCTGATTATTAAGTATGAATCATCCGAAATTCTTCTTTTAAAAAATTTCCTTTGATACCCATTTCAAACAATATCACCTTACCATGATGGCGTGCTTGAACTACTTACTCTCAATAAAAAAATCTGTAATGCCTTAAAAAAAAAAAACTCTATCCTTATTTAACCAATCATTTGATGCAATATCTTTTTTTTTTGGCTCATACTTTTTTTCATCACTGTACATCCGGTTATTATGTAAAACTATCCACATGAATAATGCCTCTTCAAGACCGGATTCACGTTTCACATTTATGATGGGTGCATTTGGATTAATTACCAACCTTTTTTTTCTTTAGTTTTCCATCTAAGATTGGCATTATTTATTGTAAGTACCTTACGTTTTTTGGTTTTTTCTCAAGTTCATTTTTCTATTTTGGTCTTTGAAAAACATTCTTTGATGGTTTGTGTATTATTAAACAATATGTGAATTTTCATTTTTTGCTTTAAAAAATATGGCTGAAAACGCATTTCCATGCAGGGGCTATTATAAAAAAGTAAGTTTTTGATAAGAGTTCATTATTTAATGAATACAAAGAATAACGATAATTACACATTTTATAATCATGTTTATCTTGTCCAAATTTTATTCAATTTTTTATTCAATTTATTCAATTGTATTGTTTTTTCATAATCGGTCGGATATTTATCTGTTATCGTTATTAAATTTTTAATTATTTCTT